GGAACAGAACAATTCAAGTTAAAATTGTCAGGCAACAGCCGTCACGCTTCAGTACAGATACTAACAGTCCTAAATTTTGTAAATTGGAGTCCTTCACTCAGCCCAAATTTCAGGCTGGGCAAGGTTTTTGAACCACGGGTCAAAAATTTTGCCCATGTAGACTTGCAGGCCAAGTGTGACGTAAAAAGTTACATTTTATGAACAATATTCTTGTATTACGGCAAAAGTGGAAAACAATCAGCCTTGTGCTAAAACTGAATTTAATCGCAATCTCAACAAATTCTTTGAGCTATTTTTTTGCTGTAACATCAAAATCCTTGCGTCAGCAATATATTCGACAGGGTGTCCATAAATCCCTTTACAATTTCAATTTTGTTATGAAGTTAGTTCACAATATATCTAAAGCAAGTTTGTTGTTTTTTAATCGGTAATTGTTTAAGTGTTTAACTTCGTTTAATACATCTGTGAGAGCCAAAACAATATATGGTATCGATAAATTCCCTTCGCAGATTTAAAATATTTGGTTCATTCCAAGCAAATGTTGAATTTCATCATTTTTTTAAAAAGTGCAGTAAAAGTAATTGCTTTGTATTTTTTATATCAAAGACATTTGAAGGTTATTGGATCAGAATTATTTCATGGAAAAAGTTGAAATTTCAATCAGGTTTTTGATTGTTTACACAAAATGGCCTGAAATGTAGAAATTTTGATATAATTGACATTTTTTTGTGATGAATCGTAACAAAAAGTGTTTGATTGTTTGGTACAGTTATTTCATTTCAAAAACATGCACTGGACCCAAGTTAATGAATATTAAGTGTTTGCAATGCTGTAGGACATGTCTTTACCTATTCAACGATTTATTGGTAGAATTTTAAGAGATGATTGAGGCCGCTGTTCCGAAGTGGAAAAATGTCCAGTAGTGTCACGTCTTGTAGACTGTAGAGCAGGGATCTCAAACTCAATTTATCCAGGGGCCGCTGGAGCAGAGTCTGAGTGAGTTCGGGCCGCATCAGGTTTTCCACAAAATTAAAACGAGAATATCGGTCGGAGACCGAAGACTTATCGATCGGAACTGCGGTTTCGATTCATGACTCTATAGTAACACCAGGGGTCCCATCACTAATTAATTAATAACTCGCTAATTATACGACATAATTCATCCAAAATCAATAGGCTTCTGGTCCGAGATATGATGAATGTACATGCAAAATTTGGAGCAGATTCAACCACGCCTTCATGAGATATCGCGTGCATCTAACAGACAGACAAACAGACAAATACCTATCAACATACTTACCGATCTAAAGATCGATAAGTAATAAGAATTAAACTAACCTAACTATTTGCAATCGTATCAAAAGCAGTGTCGTAGCAACCTAAGTCGGGTGTCGAACGTCGACTGCAATTTTCACAGCGATAACTTTGTTACTAAAATGGCCGATTGCGATCGGAAATTCCCATGCAACGGATTCTAAAACGGTCGCCGTGCTTATGCGTTTGTTAAAACAGTCGACATTTTCAGCGTTCATTGACTTTTCTGTGGTGTAAAATATTCAATCCAGACAACTACAAAAATTTTTATTGTCTCTCTATATTAATTTAATTGTGTTCAAGGTAACTCATGGCTGCGTCGATTAAGGACAAAATAAAAGTTTGCCGTACTTATCTGAAATACCACGGCCATCTCTGGACATAAATAATGTGAGATGCGGTATACAGTCAACAAAATAAAAGCGCCGTTAGAAAAATCGCTGAGTCTGTGATAAAATTTCACTGAGCAAAATTTATTTCTAAAAATTTATTGAATATACTTTACATTAATTTTGTTATATATCGCCATAATCTGGAAACAAATCACGCCAGACACCGTCGGCACTTTCAGAAAGAAAAAAGTGCCTCTTGCTCACAATGACTGTATGTCTGACAAAGTGAAATTTTGCTATTTACAATGTCTAGAAAAGCGTTTTAATCTGTCGCGGGTCTCTCAAAACACAAGTTATGGTGTTTTCCGTTTTATTTTCATTATTTTATATTGTCGCTTTTCAATCTAGAAAATTGGAGTTGTGGATTCGCTCCTTATATTTACGGACAAAAAAAAAAGGGGATTTTCATCTTTCTCGTGGCACATGACACATGTCGTCGGAAATCTGTGATTTATAGAGAAATAGAAATCATCAAGGCCTAAATACCAGGTCACACTGACGAAAACAATCGGCGATTCTAATAACAAAATTAGCACTGTGAAAATTCCAAATTTGCCAACGTAAGTGAAAATGAATTTCCTAAATTATATGCAATCCTAATGCTTATTTTAATTGTGAATTTCACCCATGATTGTTGGTCTCGATGGGGGTTACCAGTACGCAACAGATCTTATTCGTCGGACGATTCAGCACTTCCACTTGACGACGTGCCGAAAAAAATGTCGCGGCGATGTCGAAGTTTTGCACACTTTAAATTACGATTAACTGAAATTGGAATACAGCTCTAAACGGAAACGGTAGGGCCATCCCTAGCACCGCATGTGCTGATTTGCGGGCCGGACTAACATTAAGCTTTCATAACAAGGCGAGGGCCGCAAACTCTCGTCCTGCGGGCCGCAATTGGCCCACGGGCCGCGAGTTTGAGACCCCTGCTTTACTATTTCTCTCTCGCGTTTTTTTAGTTTGGATACTAGAACTTTCGGTGCCGCTTCTGAATAACTAGCTTTTCCAGTGTACTTGACTTTTTCTCACAATTTGTGTACAATCCATTTTACGGGCTGAAAAGATTAAACTTGACTTGCACTCGTGATGCGACTTCTTGCGTGCGATAAAGTGGAATATGCAGGACCAAAGCATTAACTGAAGCTTGACGTCCAAAATCCACCCCGACATCATTCTATAGTCCCTATAACAGCCGACTTATTCGATTCTGTACAAGAACACGGCGAAAATTTCCATAAGACCCGATTGTTACGCGTTTTTAAAAGTAGGCACAAAATGGAATCAAAGTACGTGTTTAACATTAGGCAATTTAGTTGCCGCCCATTGAACAGGGCAATCATAGGTAATTATAGGCTATAGTTGGGTTAAATATAAATATAGCTGTACCTGGCAAAGACAACCAGCCCCTGCAGCTTGCGTAGTTTTTCTCTGATATCCATCCATACATCGACACATTTTTGACAAATATAAGGAGTTTGTGGTTGTCCTTATATTCAGTAGGAAATTTCCAGGTCTCAGATGTAGGTGTGTTCACGCTATATGTGATTTCTCCCAATAGATTACGCAACGTAACATCACTCAAGCCTCTTCCCAGCCGAGCTGCAAGAATGACTGAAAACGAACACATATAGAGTACTAGAATGAACTTAGAAAATCCGTTCTATTAGGAGTAGATTTAACGGAAGTCTCGAATGACGTATACAGGAAGTAAAAAATGTTTTGATGCGAAATGTGAAGTCAATTGTTATGAAGTAATTTGTTAAAGATCATATTGGAACAAAGTCGAATTCGAAAATTAAACAAAACTTACCAATGAACATCAACATCAGGTAAATGTTTCGTTCCAATTCTGTAATATGGCAACCGTGCTATTAGCGCTAACGCGGATTTGTACTGATACTTGGCCCTAGCTAGATATAATATAACTATACATAGAATGAAGAGAAAAAACTAACAATGCTAAAGTGTGTGAACACAAATATCGCACCGGCAAGACTTTACAGAAAACCGAGTTTGTAGAAAAGGTCTTCAGACGAGCAATAGGGAAACATCGAGTCGTTTTGACCTTTGCTACCACTGGAAAAAATATTGGTCAATCGAGGCAAGAACCCTTTTCTTTTGAAATATATTTTTGAAAGAATTTGAGAACCAAACAAACAATATTAAGCCCTTTTTACACTTTCCAGAACTAAATGTTTGAAAGCGATTAGTGCATTCGCTGTGGACAAAAGCAATTTCTAGTACAAAAATAAACACCCCAAAACAGCAGAACTTAAGAAATTACCTGACTAAAACATTCTGCCACACTGCCGTACATACTACTCTGTCTTGTCGTTCATATAGGAGACTACCTTGTGTTACAAGCGCTTGCTATTTTGATAACAATATGACATAACAATGATTTCCTTGTATCATAGTGACGTCACATTATTGTATCGTCGTCTAGGAAAAATTAATCGTCTTCAAGTATATCCGGCTCGGCGATTCATTTATTGTTGTGTGCGTTTACGTCATTGGGTATCTCCTGGCTGTCTAAGCAAAATAAAAAGCTGAGTGTGTATTATGAAAACATTCTAATAAAATTGGAACTCGACAACTATGGTAAACGGTGCTTGTGGGTCTTGTGAGCAGGGTTTCTCAAAATCGACATTCAACCCCCAACAACGGCGCGGTTCTTTGGGGGCAACTAGTGAAGAAATTCATAATGTAACATTTGTTATGACTACAGCAGTTTAACGTTAATTGATCGTGACTGTAAGCATTTGTCTCACAATATTGTTCACCGAAATCTTCTAATTAAGTTAGTTTAACTCAGAAGAATGGGGCACAACATAGTACAAACACCGCTATTAGGCGTCCACAAAGGAGCAATAATGGCATTAATAAAATTTGAAAGCGGTTGCGTCCAAATGTGGCAACAAGCTTTTGAGGGTCAAAGCCACTCCCCTTGAAACGTAAAAAAGATGACTCAACACTCTTCAAAACCCACTTTCCGGCTACGACCATGTATGTACTATACACCTGATAATTTAATTTTATCATTTTCTGAAACGTAAACATTACCCGATAAAAATAGTATTGCATAGTTTACACTTAAATTGGGATAAATCTACATATCAAGGCGCTTTGCGTTATCAGTTCATACTGTACATCGTCCAAGACTGGTTGGGGATTATTCTTAGTAGGCGAGATATATAAAAACGAGGGCAATATGGATATGCGTGTTACTCGAATAAACATAGAGTAGCAACGTCTTGGCGTTCATTATTACAAAATTATGCATGACAAGGAAAGAGCCAACGGCTGGATCATATGTCTGGTAAGGAAGTTGTAAGCTAGTTATTTCTGGACCATGCTATACACAGCACTCGAGCTAGTCTGCTGCGAATCGTCTCCCATTCTGTCGAAATTTTCTCCATATATGGCATTGACCACGATTTCCCGGGTGTTTGATTCTTCCGCCTCAGTTTCTTTGACATCCGGGTTGCGTGAGGTGGCCTTTGACCTGATATTAAATATATCATATCGAGAGATTAGGCTACACCAGAATCTGCAATCTCCATCACGCATTTTAAGACTTATCCCATGAGAGTGGGAAGTGTTCTGTTCGGTTAACTCTTTAAAACAGAGAATAGGTAACCAATTATTCGCGGTAGTCTGCTATAACCGACGGCCACGCACCACATATTAGTCAGTAAAATACGTAAAATTTGCCTATATATTTATATATATATGATGGACAAGAAGATCAAAAAAACAACGTCAAATAGCCAAAGAATAAAATTACTTTATTTGAACAGAGCAGATAAAAAGGTGAGGGGGGTCCGGAATTTCAAATTGCCAAGTTAGACCGTAGCAGGGCGAGACTGACAGAAAGCCGAAAACGCGTCTTGAGGGTCTAAAAGCGTTTCAAGTTACGAGAAATTGCTATGTATTATTCAGAAAAATCCTTTTTTACATTTCAAAAAGATCACGGTTAACATACTGCTATTGACCCACCAGTAATTTAATAATCTTAGTGGTGGGGCAATAACAGGATAGTAGCAAAGCATGGTAATTTTACTCACCGGTTTCGTATAATTACGACTCCGAACACCACCCACGATATGACAAGTAATCCGATAGCGATTGCAAGGCCAGCAATCAGTTCGGTTCTACCATTGAGCATCTGTGGTGAATTGTCGACTGTTACGTCATTTGCCGTCACAGATAAAGTCTGATCGGTAGATGAGTCTGTTATTTAGAATATTTCATATGAGTTTTAATGGAAAGATTTGTTTAAATGGAAGAAAGATGAGTTTATGGAATGAATAATGAACTACCGTAAAACACATTATGACTACAAATTATTTTCCTGAATAATTTCTGCTTTAAAAACGTTTTTGGTTTACTAAATTTGAACTGTTTGGCTTCAAAGAGAAATAGCGATGCGCGTCACAGAATCTGAATGTTCATCTATTAACCGTATCCGTACATATTTTCATGATTGATACTGCCTGTTCACGACCGTAGTGCTTTCAAACTGACCTTCTCTGAGGCATGAGCAAAGCTGAGTTCAGTTGAGCGTCGGCAATATATTCGACAGGATGCCCATAAATCCCTTTACAATTTCAATTTTGTTATGAAGTCAGTTCTCGATATATCTTAACCAGGTTTGTTGTTTTTAATCAGTAATTGTTCAAGTATTTTTACTTCATTTAATACATCTGTGAGGGCCAAAACAATATATGGTATCGATAAATTCCCTTTGCAAAATTTAAAATATTTTAAGACTTTATTGACACTGTATACATATACACTGAATGGTCTTTGAAACAAATTGGAAGTGTAACGGTCCCACACATTTGTGTGAATAAACATGGAAATTCATTTCCATATTAACGCGAGATATTAGAATTCAATATAAATACAAAAAATGCTTTTGCCATATGTTCGCGCGTCACATGAGCTTACGTGCCATGTGTTGTGCACCCCGGTTTTGTAAACCCAATATTGTCCCCATGTCTGGTTACTTACCAGTTACCGTTGTAGAGTGTTTGTTCTCCATCATCGGGCATTCAAGATACTTGTACTGGATTTGAACAAATTTCTCATAATTGGACGAACTATATATACTAATATCCGCTGGCATTCTTGACAGACGAAACCACGTGTATTCATCGCAAACCACATCGTCTATCTTTGATCCAGTGAGCGAGGCCGTATTCTGCAACATACATCCGAAAGGTTGATAAAACAGACATTTTGTTCTGGGTTCCCAGCATGTCCAACCGAATCCTGAAACAAAAATTGTTTGATAAAATTTATTTTTCAGTTGTTTCAAGTTTGGAGAAAAAAGAGGATGGCACTTTTTATTATAATCTCTGATAATTATCTATCTCTAAATGATGAAGTTAGTTGGATATTTTGTACACTCGCCGACAACAAGTTCTCTAAATAAACTTCCCGATTTTTTTTAATTGCTCGGGTTTCACTTTTTTATTCTAATTTGTGCACGATAGGGCTCATGGTACAACTTACTTGCGATGAAGTAGACTTGGAATAGGCAATATATATAGCGTACCTGGCAAATATAACCAGCCTGAGCAGACTCCAGCAGGGGTTTCCATAGACACACTCTTGACAAATATAAAGAGCGTGTGGTTGTCCTTATATTCAGCAGGGAATTTCCACGATGTGGATGCGTTCACGCTATCATATGTGATTTCTCCCGATGAATTACGTAACGTAACATCACCCAAGCCTCCGTTCACCTGAGTTGCAATTATAGCTGGAAACAAGGAACACCTATTGAGTATCATATCAAGAACTAGGCAAATTCGTTCTAACAGGGGTCGATTTCGCGGAAGTTTGGAATGACGTAAACAAGAAGTACAAAATTTTGTACTGATGTGAGAAGTGAAGTCAATTCTCAAGAATTTCTCTGAGTAGTTTGTTAATGGTCATATTGGAACAATGTCGACTCCAAAAATTCAACTAAACTTACCAAATAACATCAACATCGGGTGAATGATTAGTTTCATTTCCGTAATCTGGCAACTGTGTTAAAAAGCTATTAGTGCTAACGTGGATTTGTAGTTGAATACAGAGTCCTAGATATAAAATAATGTAAATATATATATCAACATATATATATTCTGTACATAAGGGACTAGAAAGTAAGAATGATATTTCTCGAAATTGCCGTAGTCTCGGAAACAGGCATATTTGCTGATTTTGAGTCAGGTGGCGGCCGGAAAAAACCTGACGTATGGCAACCTTAATCTAAAGCGCAGTTTCATAAAATGGGCATCCGGTGCCTTCTATGAGACTACAGAGCGGTTTTCAACGAAGAAATACCTTCACTATGGAACAATGACTTCACTAATTAAAAGGTAATTAACTGTGAATGTAACCATTTGTCCAGAATATATATCTGCATTAACTCAAAACAGTAGAGCGATACACCGCTACATTGCGAAAACCCATCATACCCTGCAGTGGCGTAACTACCCATTGGATCTTGTGGATAAATCCGGGAGCGGCACGTTGCTGGAGGGCGGCAAAACGTTTTAAACGAACCAATGCAGTCACATTAAACGACCTAATTTACCACTGAAGCCAAAAATTTACACAAGATATACGTCCAAACCAGGTGTTTTATGGCTCGTGGCCCCCTTCCAGCGCCTATTTGCACTCGCGGTCTCCGTGTTCGTCATTCCAAAAAACGAAACGTGTTGGATTGTATGTGTTTACGATCTATTATGGATTGCAAAAGCAAACCACAGACAAGAAAGTAAACGCTCTCCAGTATACGATCAAAGGGAATCTTGCGCTTATGACTATCTGACGAGGTTTCTCGTATTAGGTGCAGTCTTTTTTATAGCTAGACGAATGTCAACATCAAGACGGTTTATAAATTTTGTTATTGTAGTAATAAAAATTAGCTTTTGCTCCGACAGAAACCCGAACTTAGTCAATGTGCGTTCCTGTCAAATCTAACTCGCTTGGCAGCAAAGAAACCGATGCCAACGTCTTTCACCCCGGGGACTGGGGGGCAATTTATTGCTCATTACATACGAGCAATGCCAGCATTAATCACATTTTCTGGCATCTCAATTTACTTTGGTAAAGTCAACGCAACTGTTGTTCTTGTTAGTACATCTGTCTGTGCTTGAAAGCTCAAGAACGCAGCTATTCATGTGTTCATCTAAAACGGAACTGTAGCTCCATTTTTGTAATTGCGTCTATAATACGCTAGCGAAGGTTATCTGGCAGTCGAGTGGAACTGCCATTCTGTAGATTAGACCAAACGGCCCACCGGCGAACTATTTTCATTGGTAGATTTCAAATTCCATTATAATCAAACAATTCACGCACAAGAAAGTGAATACTCTTTGTGATCGCAAATAATCCTATTCAGGTAATGAAACTGCCGTGGAAAGTATGCAAACGAAGTCGCTATGTCTTGTGTCGTGGCCCCACTCGAACTGCTTCGTGGCCCCTGTAGGGAGCCCTTGGATGAGAACCACTGCACTAGTACAATCAAGTGATTTTACATTTAAAAATGACGCTACAGCGCTGGACGTCCTGCAGTGGTTTACAAACATCGTTTATGTGAATCAACACCTTATTTATTCACGAGTCTCAAGCCTTACCTCACTGTTGCCGTTTCTTTCACAAATCACAAGCTGCGAATAACGAAGTCAAAACCCAAGTTGATAAAGTTTTACTTGAGATCGACTATGGGAGAAGGCAGGCTGTCTGCGTCAGCAATACTGCTCATTGAAAGTGATTTAGGCGAGACATTATCTTTTGACAATATAATTTCTGAATTTGCTTTAATGAAAACTGAACATTGAATTTGGAACTTTCGATAAAATTTACTATTCACTGCTTTAATTCTTTTGTTGTGTGGAATTTTATTCAGCTTCTACGACGGTGTGGAAGGGGCGGCATTTCGCGCAAAGATCCAGGGGCGCCACATTGCGTTGTTACGCCACTGATACCATGCCCCACGAATACGAGGTTAGCGGCACCAAACAAGACCAACAACGGGTGAATGATTCGTTTCATTTCTGTAATCTGGAAACTGCTAAATAGCTATTAGCGCTAACGCGGATTTTTACTGTAGCATTGGGTCCTAGATATAAAAAGGATGTAAATATTAACAATGCCATACACTCTTTACTTGTAAAGGACGGGTAATTAACTCTCTCGAGCTGTGAATGTTGGTGGCTTTTTTGCTGGTTTTGGACTAGTCGTCTTTTTAAGATTCCCAGAGCCAAAATCTCTGGCGTTGGAACTGAATTCTATGTGTTTCAGTAACCTCACTACAGATCGAAAGGATAGGATTTACATATTTATTCCGAGGGAGAGAAAAGCCTATAAGACGACTCAATTATGTGGTCAACCACGGCCTCTCGTCCGGTTCATATCGGGTATAAAATTATTTAGCCAGTTATTTGTTTTCAGATGCATGGACTTGATTGTGGGGAATCCGTGACTGACCAGCGGTTACGTGAACCACCCTGCGGCAGCGAGGAGTCAGCAATCCTCTCGCACATAATTATCTCCGCATGGGATTCGAACCTGCGAACTCACGCGGGGTAATCAGAGGTGCGGTGGTGAGCGTATTCCTAACACTTGGAACAATACGCCACATCGCCGAGCAATTTTCAAATATATTGTCATAAAACGGTGATGCTGAGAGCACCAAGCTCCCTGAATTAGTCTGAGGGTATTCAAGTACTCGAAATTGAATTAGATTTCTCCGTTGGTTACGGAGAATAGCGATTAATAACAACAACAATCACCTCTCCCCCGAACAGCAACAACAAGAAATGAGACTTTATTTTCCTGACTCAACTCCCATTGCTACCTCTATGTCGTCTGTCTTATCTTTCATTTCTACTAACCCATGTTACAAGGGCTTGCTATTTTGATTACAGTTTGACGGGACAATGAGTTTCTTGTATCATAGTGACGTCATATTATTGTATTGTCTTCTATGAAAAATTAATCGTCTTCGTGGTAGAAGTATATCCGGCTTGATAAACTCTTACCTCGATGATTCATTCATGCTTCTATGCAATTGCCCTATTGGAATATATCTTAGCGGTCTTGGCAAAACAAAAATTTGAGTGCATATTTTGAAAACATTTAAACAATATTATCAAGCTTTGGAAACCGGTGATTTTGGGTCTAAAGCAGGTTCCATAAACTGGATCTCCGATGCCTTCTACGGGACTACGAAGAGATTTTCCACGAGCGAATACCTTCACTATAAAACATTTGCGATGCCTTCACTAATTTAAAGTTAATTAATTTTGCATGTAACCATTTGTCTCACGATATATATCTGCCCTAACTTAAAACAGTAGAGCATGACACCGTTATTAGGACCATCATTGCGAAAGCCCATCATACTTTGCCTCATTAATTTCCTTACACTCCCCTAAATGGGGTAAACACCTCCCTAAAAGTGATGAACCCCCTTATTTTTCAGGTGTGAACCCCCGGTTGAAAACCACTGGTCTACTGACAAGCAATACGGATGCAGTAGACTAGAGCAGGGGTTCTCAAACTTTTGGTGTTACGGAGCCCGTGAAGATGTTGACTATTATTCAAGGAGCCCTAAAATAAATTTTAAAAGTAAGTTAAAAGTACTTTACTTGATTTAAATGCTAAACCTTTTTTAATAGGGTTAATACAAGTCATAAATAAATCTAAATTTCAAAGATAAATCATATATATTAAGGCATATATAATTTGACACGTGACAAACATATTAATAAATTAGGGGTCGATTCTTTTTCCTTTTTGAAATTTTTGGAAGACTTAAAAAGGTTGCTGCGCGATTGCATTTTGATACAATCGCCGACTGTTTTCGTCAGCGAGAAATGTTATACCTTATTAAACATCCTTACGTCGGTGTTTATTCTCCCTAAATCAAAAATTTCCTCCGGCATATAAATGTATTGTTCCACAATGACGACGATAATTGTTTTTTTGTTCTCGTGGGGAATTATGAAATCGATGTGAAAAACATGTTAATATATTATAGTCATCGGCGACGAGATGCTAAATATAATTATTAACGAATCGGCGGTAAATCCGCAACTCAAATTTCTTGATTGAAAAGCGGCATTATGAAATATTAAAACTAAAACTTAAAACCGAAGATAACACTATAAACATTGTTTCAGCAGACTCACGACAGATTCAAAACGCTTTTTTAGACATTGCAAATGACAATATATATTTGATGTTATCTTAGGTTTTCTTTGGGTATTTATCGTAGTAACTGAAATCGAAACCCATTCTGAAACTACCAACGGAGCAGCATGCGATAACATAAATTTCAATCGTTTGTATTTTGCCTAGACCTTGTGATTTTTTAAACGATGATCGGGTGATATCTTGCAAAGAATCTGAGTGGGAGACCTGCGATAGGGTGGAGTCAGTGCTGCAAGAAGGGGCTCAAATTTGTCGAATTCGCTAAATCGCTATAATCCGCCACACTGCCACGCAATCAATCAGTCATGATTACGATTTGATCGGGACGGGCACAAATATCTTATCAAACTTCTGACACCGGTAATAGGTATTATGTTCTTTTGTCGGCAAAATGACTCTGTTCCTAATATCTTATGATAACAGCGTTGTTCAGGATATACAGTAGTCCACAAGAACTTCGATCACTTAACT